GCACAAACTTTTGTGTGTTTGTGTACTTATATAATTTTTTTTTTACATCCCTGAAGGATTTTTTGTGGGAAACGACTGAATTACTTGTTACGTAGTCGCAGAACGGAGAAATATTAAACAGTTTAAGTGCTGTCAGTGGACGTTAAGCGGCCCATCCACGTACGAGTCTAGCTCGGGTTCCATCGAGCCAAACTCGTTTGCGGGTGCGGTGTCACGAGCCGAGCGTGTGTCGTGAAATATATCCGAGCCCGGCTCGCGAGTCAAGCTCGCCGAGCCAGACTCGCTTTAAGAGAGCTGATGTTATTGAGTCTTATTTTGCAGGAGGATGAACTGAAAGATATAATCGAAAAGGCTCGTGAAATGGAAGACAAATATGGCCACTTCTTTGACATGATCATCATTAACAATGATACGGACAGGGCATATCATCAGCTTGTTAATGAGATCAACAGCTTGGAGAGGGAACCACAGTGGGTCCCGGCCAGTTGGATCAAGAACACGTGAACGAGTAAGGATCTTGATCGGATTTTTTTTTTTTTCGATATCGTGTGTGGTAATGACAGAAAAAATATTCATCGACTACGAGGGGTTAGATGTGGCAGTGTGACCGTCTCCGAAAGATGATTTTCATTCGTCATTTCGAATAAGAATCCGAGAGAAAAAGATTGTGTGTGTAATGGCTGTTACTGTTTTACAGATGACCGCCGTCTAAAATACGTGATGTCCGCCAAGCCACTTCGCGTTGAAACCAAATGACACGAACAGTTTTTTTTTTTTTGCAATAAATGCTTAAATATCACGATGACCTTGAAAATGAACTGTGTTAGACATAAATAATCAACGTGTACTGATAATTTGCTCTACTTAATACTGAAACGGACACAACGGAGGGGTGAAAGATGGCGATGAACTTGGGGTCGCTACGTCGTGAACGTCAACGTAACCACATTGCCTTTCTCCCTCAGTTTGTAACGATTATTATCGATATTATTCGACTTATTTTTAGGTCTCGAATCGATCGATGTGGACAGAATGCTGTTCGTTCACGACTATATCTGTCACATTGACACGTCGAATGGCATTCTCAGATACGAGTTCTTAAAAGTTTGTCCCCCTGTGGCCTGTTTTATCAGTCATGTGACTAGTTTTGGCGAGGTACCAATGTTGTCACTAGAAGAAAAAAAAAAAGAAGATGGATGTTTAATCTCTAATTTAGTTTTTGTCAGACTTGAAAGTCGTAGATCGCGTAACGTTGCCCCCGCGTTGACGGTGGACGTATTACAAATGGGGGAGTACGCGGTATTTCCTTATGGGTTTTTTTGTTAAACGAAAGAAATGTAGGTAATTTTTTTTTTTGTCGAGTATTGCGTGTGGCAGAACTTTCGTATTAATTCGTAATAATACTGTTCCCTATCTCGTCAATTTTTAAGTAGTTGAATAAAAAAATTGGATGTTTTCACTTGTTTTGAAGACGGATTGTAGGATGTGAATACGGGATCCTCCTTGAACTGGGGCGAAGATCCGCGGTTAGACGAAGTACCCGTGTGTCGTGCCCCAAATTCTGATAGCTTCTCGTGTGTTAAAATATTCCTTTTACCGTGACATTGGTTTTGAACTTTCTTATTTTACGTGTCCAGCGAGAATGTTTGGGGGGTGGGGGTGGGATGGGGGATGAAGGGTGCAACAGTACCCATGCTCTGTCTTAACTAAGCAATACATTACCAAGTCATGCGACGTTTAACAAATGTTTTAGTAATGAATTCGCGTCAACTTTAGAATATCAAACCCTTCTTACCTACCCTCAAATATTGTAAAAATAAAAATAAAAAACTTACCCCCCCCCCGACCAAGTTTGTTTATATAAATTATTCATATTGTTTTAATAAGGTGTTAGATAAAAAATGTACAGTTATTTTTATTATATAATATTAATATTAAAAATAATAGATTTCCAAATATGTACTGTTATATTATTAATTTCTATTTTAAAAAAAGGGTAACTCTTTTTCAAAAAAAAAAATAAAAAAAAATAAACTGCTCAAGAATTTAGTGCTGTACCATGAAAGCTTAAACAAGAATGATGAGAGAGAGCAATTGTAAATAGGCCGCGTCCTCTCATTATATTATAATTATTATTATGTACTTATAATGAAAAAGGAATGTATATTTCTGTTGTGTAATTCTTTAGTAAATGGTACCATGTGTAAAAAATGGCTGAATGTTCTCTTAATTTTGAACTTAAGAGGCCGTCACATGTGTATTAGAATCGGCGTCGACTCGGAGCTGGACTCGAACCTGGTAAGTCATATAGCAGGGACCTGTGATGCGATGAAATTGTATTAGACCTCAGGGTCCTCGGGCCCTTATAGTACGAAGACAGCGTCTGTTTGTCTAGTCCTAAAGAATGCTTTCGAGCGTCAGGTATGAACGTGTTGTTTTGTGGCTCTAGAACCAGGAACGTGGAATTCACTGCTGTCTTTTGCGCTAATGAGATTGAAGGTTTCTCACGGCCCTTGAAGTGGGAATGTCGTGTCTGCTTGGCTTTTCATGTAGAAGGCCTGTGCTTGTTCTAGAAATATAAATTTTTAGGGTTTATAAATTAAGAAGATAAGGGATGCTCAGTTTGGAGTCTAATGTATCTGGACTAAAAGTCCAAATTTGTACAAAATTTTATCAGGATTTTGTTATTACTGGCGTGAATTCAACACCAGAGCGTTTGTTTTTGAAACAGATTTGCGCTGTGTGAAGGTCGAAGTTTGGAGAAGAATGAGGTTATGTTGTCAGGACTGGGAGTTTGTGGTTCAAAGGTTTCTAATTCACTGTATCCCTCCGCGTTCAGACCGTACAATTTATTTGTCTCGTGAAATATTCACTAACACAAAAACAAACTTTTAGATTACAGTTACGTAAATTGACTGGGATTCTTACGTAATTAGCTAATTACGTCCTTCACAATGTTCATCGCTAGTTGATTCGGTTGGCTTAAGTGCTGTTTTCAGTACATGGACCACGTGCAGTGGTTCAGTACAGTGCATGTGCACTCAGAGCAGTCTAGTTCCTGGGAAGCCATTGACCATGTTTTGCTGTGTTCGTCGCAGTGATCGATAAAGATTGTGACCTGTGATACAGCGATGTACTGGAGCACGTTTCATGTTTTTCTTCGTACTCCCCACAGCCTGCTCTTTAAAAAATTATTATTATTCCAGGATTTTGTATTTTTGTTTCAATCTGTACGTACCATTTGTACTTGGAATGCAAAATGAGAAAATAATATGGAGTTGAGGGATTTTATGTATGTATTTTTCATGACGAAAATTGTGGACTGATTTGTAATGAGGGGGGGATTTTGTGTATGTATTTTTCATTACGAAAATTGTGGACTGATTTGTAATGATACTTGGTATTTTGGGCCTGCAGTGAAAGTTATGAGCTGGTAGGCTGTCAATGAATTAATTGAATTGGCTCACAGGCAACACGCTGATGAGCCCTGGCGCGAAAGAACAGAATTTATTAATGAGATTTCAGGTCCTCATTACAGTGAGTATGAAGACAACTCTCATCTCTGACCTTGGTCAGCTGAATCCGTTTTGATTTCATCCAAACATTGCGACGTTCCACTTGAGTTTTTTTTAAAACAAATTTTGTTCCTGCCCACAAGTTATGTGGAACGGAGTTGTTATTGATTTTGTGGTTACAGAATTTGGTCTTGTTCCGCAGGGAAATAAATATTGAAGTGGCGAGGAAAATTCTGATAAATATCAAATGGTTTATATTTATCGCCTGCTGTTTGGTAAGGCTGGACAAAGGAGGATTGAATTAATCTTGAGAACAAAACTGTTACGTGAAGTGGATTGGAGATTTTGTTGCTGTGGTGATGAATCTTTGTACTCGGCAGGGTACTGAGGAAAAAGAAACTAGCAGTGATTGAAAGAAATTGTGGCGTGACCAAAATCTCTAATGGAAGGCTTTTGATAAGTAATTTAAGCGCAAACAAGTTCCATAAACTTGGTATGTCTTGCTGACTGGCAAAATATTTATCTACAGAGCTTTCCGAAAAATAAAGAGAGAAAAAAGATTTTGCTTTCGTGGCAGGTGCAACCATTGCCAAGGCACATCCCCCCTCCCCTTTCCTCTCGGCCCAATTGCCTTAGAGCGCGTCTGTCTTCTGTAATTGCTGCATTAAGCAGTCAGTTCGTAGGCAGAGAGGACGCGTTGTGAAGATGTGGACGCTGGGTTTGTGCTTGTTGCTGTTGGGGGCAGTCGGCTCTGAGGTGGTGACGTTCCAGAACTGCCCTGTTTCGGGTAAGCGAACAAAATGGGACAAATGTTAAGATAGTCCATCATTTCAGAAATGACTATAATCCTTTGAAGTCAAAGGCCGCCTAAGTTATATTTAAGAATCCAGTCCGTACCGCGAAGAAAACACAACACTTCACCATTGCAAATATCAACTGCTTAACGCTGTTTAATGAAATAAAATAACTAAACCGCTAATTAACCCTTTGGAGTCGAAGCTCTTTCAAATGAAACTTAAGAATTCAGTCCGTACCGCGAAGAAAACACAACACTTCACCATTACAAAGATTAGCAGGTTAACGCTGTTTAAGGAAATGATCTCTGTTCACAGTGAAACTCATAAATACGCTACGTGGTTAGAATTTACATTTTTTAGTAGCGTTTGGTAATTATAGTTACTACTGAATTTTAAACTTTTCAAAATTATTTAATTTTGTGTTAGAGTTCTGTATAAATCTGCAAAATTATCTTGTCTGGTGCATGGAGCTGAAATCAAAATCAAAATTTGCTCTATATGTAATCGGACAAAATATTTTTACATTATATAAAATAGTCTACAGATTATTTACAATTCGATGTCGTGAACATTGTTTAAGAAATTAAGAATAGATTAATGAGGGAAATGTTTGCTGCCATGCATTTAAAAAAAGTTTATCTCTCTGGCTTCTGTATGAAATTACAAGGATTAACAATTTATGATTTTTACCGTTTCGTGTAACGGGAACGTCACCTAATGAAGATATTTGAGATCAGTGGTGTGGAAAATATTTGGACCCGAGAGAGATGAAATGTAGGAGACTGGTTTAAATATTATAACTAAATGGGGTGGGGAAACAATAATACATACAAAATTTTATTTACAAAATCGTATGAAAATTTAGCGTTAGAAGGGATTTTATTCTGACGAAGCTGAATAAGTATCGAGTCCTTCGGAGTCAGTTGGTCGCGGATCGCCTGTTGAGACACTCGTTCTGTCGGGGTTATCAGTGCCAATCATGACCCCCCCTGACCCAGGGCCAAGGGTCAGAACTTCCCGCTTGGGCCAGGTGATATGATAATACTGTTGATGCAATCGGTGCGCTTGCACTGGGCTACCGGCTTCCTAATAACACCGAAGCAGACTTTGTGGATGATAAGACCAGAGTTTCGTTTCCTACTGCAAGCTGACCGAAGTCTGCCAAGGGTCAAAGGTCGTGGCTTGTGATATCAGCCTGACGCCAGAACAAGAGGCACGAGTGGGGAAGGAAGTAAATGAAACTAAATTACTCTTAAATTCGCTGGCTGGTGACTATTCGGGATGTCCCTGGAGTAAATATCGGCTTTGACCCGCAGCTCGTCAGAATAGTATGTAAGTGCTCGGTCCGTACCGCGAAGAAAACACAACACTTTACCATTACAAAAGATCAGCTGGTTAACGTTGTTTAAGGAAATAATACGACTAAAACGCTAATTAACCTTTGGAGCCGAAGCTCTTTCAAATGAAACTTAAGAATTCAGTCCGTACCGCGAAGAAAACACTACACTTGACCATTACAAAGATCAACTGGTTAACCTTGTTTAAGGAAATAATACGACTAAAACGCTAATTAACCCTTTGGAGCCGAAGCTCTTTCAAATGAAACTTAAGAATTCAGTCCGTACCGCGAAGAAAACACTACACTTGACCATTACAAAGATCAACTGGTTAACCTTGTTTAAGGAAATAATACGACTAAAACGCTAATTAACCCTTGGAGCCGAAGCTCTTTCAAATGAAACTTAAGAATCCAGTCCGTACCGCGAAGAAAACGCTACACTTCACCATTACAAAGATCAAATGGTTAACGCTGTTTAAGGAAATAATCGCTGTTTATTTTCTGACTCGTAAATATAAACTCCAGAGTCAGTGACTGTTAAAGTAGATGGTACATTTCATTACCATTGAACCTTAAAGGATTAATGAACGAAATGAATGGATCGAGACCCGCGTTATCTCGTTCGGCCAGTGCGATACGGTCAGTGAGTGCACTGAACACTCGAATAGAGAGTCAAGGCTAATCAAATGCTGTACCGCTCAGAAATAAATTGAAGAAGGGCTTACGATACAACACAAATCGCTTCCTTGGCGGCTTAATTTTGAAGAGGATACATTTTTTAAAGCATCTTCCTCTTGTTCGTAATGAAGACTTTGCTAAGAAGATAATTATTTCAAATTGATCAGAGATTATTTGTTCATTTTGAAACTTGAATTATCTGCGTTGTCGCATAAAATTACTTCACATCTGCAGAACACGTTGCCAGTATTCGCTCAAATCGATAACAATTACTATTGGATTTCTACCCGTGCATAGCGTACTGCATCCATCACAATTGCTACGTGTTGTGACCATGTTAACTGATCACTGACAAAATTTATAACTTGTGTTGGGCAAGGCCGTGGTCTAGGCAACACGGAGTTTTCCTCCGTGGCATCCCAACAATTACTCCATTCACACTCACACAGAAGAAGGCAATGGCAAACCACTTCTGGATCATCTGCCAAGAACGTATATGAACAGGTCCCAGTCCGAGAAGAGAAAAGGATGGAAGGATCCTGTTCATATGGACCTGTCCTCAGACAGAACACTAAAATATTAATAGATGGCAGCTACATCGTGTTCTGGACGTTTCGCGCAAGGTTTTTTTAAAAATGTTAGTCGCTTAGGCTTTGTTTTGATGTAAATTTACTCTCAAAAACATCATTTTTCTTTATAATGAAGTGAAATTTGCCTCTGATACCAGACGAGATCATCGAAGTTCTTTCGAAAGCTACGGTTTGCTTAGGCCAGTGAGTTCAACAGCGAAAACAAATGAAATTAAGTACAGACTAAGCCCGCTGTTGTGATTTCTCTGTGGTTATCGCAGGCGTACAGTTTCACCAGAATTTTGAGCAGGACATTCGTGTGAGAGTGTCTTAAGGGCTCATCGTGTTGGTCCGTCAGTGTTTACATTCTTTCTGCCTTGTCCGTGTTAATCCGTACCTTCAACAGTATCAGAGCGTGGATATTTAGGACACTACCATGGACAGTGTCATTGTCTTGTATTGTGTTGCAGATGAAGAACCGGCACTTGCGCCAAACTGTACCGTACACGAAGTCAGGATCACGCCGTGCGCAGACGCGACAGAAAATAAACCCTGCAAGATAAAGAGAGGTCGATCAGCTTCTATCTCAGTCGACTTCACACCCAGTACGTGAAGCCATCTAATGTCATTTGAACCAACTAACCTTTTTCATAAATATTGATGTGAATATACAGGGTGTGTCGTTTTAAACGCAGCCCAAGATCAATCGCGCACTAAGGTATAAGAATGATGCTCGTTCTTTAGAAAACCTACTACAAAGATGTTCTGTACGTTCTTATGTCTTGTTACAATCATGCCATCTAAGTTTGAATTTTATTTTGTAGTTATAGTTGAGGTTTAAATAGAGCACTCTGTATTTCAAGTGAAAGATAGAACGACTTCTATGTAATGTATTTCCCTTATGATAATTCCTCCCTGTTACTTAGATAAAATAATTGTTTTTCTTTATAATATCGCACATTCAGTGCAACTAAGCATAGAATGTAAAAATATAGTTATTTATTTAAATTATTATAAATAATTATATAATTGTAATATGAAAATTTTGTATCTGATTGCATACAATTTATTTTTTAGCGTTTAGCGTTAAATATTTTTTTATTAAATTCAGAATTGATACTAGTAACAGCTGTTTTATCCCGATCTGTACAGCAGTGTGGACAATGACTTTTGTGTGGGGCAAATATTGTGTTTAAAACTGTAAATATAAAAAAATTTCCTGGGTGCCCCGATTTGAGATTTTTGAGTCCAGACGACCAAAGTTTTTAGAATGATTCTCCGAACTGAGCCTGGTTTTTTTTTAGAACTGCCTATCAGTTCTTTCCACGCGAGTTTTATATAGAATTTCCAGGCCTTCGCGTAGTAATCTTCGATAAGAATCTGCGTCGCTTTGGTCCATTTCGTTTTATTAGCATTGCCATCCAATGTACTTCGTTTTCAGCTGTGTCTGGCGACGGCCTGACGGGCAAAATCTTCTGGGTTAATCAAATGGGAGACCTGCCCTTTGTGGGCATGAACAGCGATGCGTGTTCCTTCACGACCTGCCCCATCCAGGCAGGCAACAGACAGACGTACGAGTACCAGCTGAGCGTCTCGAAGAAGTTTCCCGTGGTGAGTGGAACTGTCGTGGGTTGTTCTAAGGGATGTTGTTTTTGACAGGTGAAATTTCATGTTCTTGTGGGACGTTGCACCTTGTAAACTGGCAGAAGCTTATCGACGTTTCAGAGGTGCTTAATGCCCGTCCACCAATGACATTTGAAACCGTGACCAGATTTAGACGAAACTTGCTACAGATACCATACTATAATGGCTATCCCACCTTTAAACTTCGAATTCCTCAACATCAACAATGCCGTCGTGCTAACTTCTGAGGTGGTTTCCATACAATATATAAGTTATTTGTTAAACGTAAAATAACAAATTGTCGGTCTGACTTTGTTTTATAATAATAAGTATATAATTAAATTATTTTAACTGTAATTCTGAAACGTACTGTCTTATAGGCCTCTTACAAACATTTTGAATGGAACATTTAAATTTTAAATTTAAATTTAAATTTAAAATTGCAACGTTTTCGAAGATGTATACTGTATATGTGTCATGTGTGGGCGAGTAGTCAAGATGTAAATGTCTGCTTCCAGAGGGCGTATGACATAAAATGGCGGCTGTGGAACGAGACGTCGGACGTTTTGGAGTGTTGTTTTATTACCAAGATCAAGCTGACCAAGTAATGAGGCGAGACTGATTTCAAGCGAATCACAGTTCAGACGTAAACGTCGAAAGTCATCGGAGTGGGAATGTAAAAAAATATTAAAATATTAAGTACGGACAAGAAACCGATATTTGGGGGGGGGGGAGTATTTTAACAGATCATCGCATCTAAACACATGCGAAGTTGTTTCTATGAGAATATGCCCCGCTACACACTTAATTCTGTCTTTGTAACCACGCTAACACCTTTCAGATATTTTGACGACTGCGAAACGTCGGTCCCGTTCAAGTAACGTGAACTGCTTTGCCAGCAGTGGAGTGACACCGAATGAAAGTCGAAATATTTTTGTAAGGCGAAACATGTGTTACATCGTACTGACGTATTTGTGTTCATTTATAGAGATATATTTTAAAGACTTTAACTTAATTATAGGCTAAATGGATCGAACTGTTTACTGGAATATAATGCACACCGTCTGCACTCCAAATTTCCCAGAAAATTTGACTTCGCATTATATTTCCCTTCACGTAAATATATCTTTGACTGGTTTATAAAAGAATTGAAACTTCGGTATCTGCTTGCTGTAATTAGAACATTAGAAAATAAATATTTGTGTAATTTAAATATAAAACTTTTTTGTCGTTAATTTAACTTTTTAAAATATTGGTGGCCATTATATTTTAGCGCATAAAATTTGAAAAAAATCTTGAAAGTATTTCTGATAATACAAAATCCAAACCAGGATCACTGCCTTTATTCCAGTTAAAAGGTTTATTAAATTCCTTTTCTCCTAATTTTGAGGAAAGAGTCCTCTGGACACTTCTGCCTCTATATTATTCTCAGGGAGAAGAATCATCTGGATACGCAGAACAACTCTTTGGAAGGGAAATCTTACCTTTGCAAGGCCTCTACGGGAAATTTAGTTTTCCATGTGTTCAATACCTGCACCGACGCAGCTGAATTGGCAGTTATACACAGGCCTGCAAACCTGATGTTGCCGGCATCTTGATGGTCACGTGTCTCAACAATGGCGACGCGAAAACAAGAGACACACAACGGCCGTATCAACAGGAGACCAGAAAAAACGTCACACGTTGTGATAAATGTTTCGTTCGTTTCGTGGCCTGTGTTGTAAAATAACGGATAAGCTGTACAATTGCCCCCGAGTAGCCCGTATTTCAGAATTTTAATAAAATATTTTAAATACGATCCTTGTAGACTTGTTTCCTGACCGACTCTCACACATTACAAAGATTCGTCACCTGACAAATTCGCAATTACTGTGTTTCGTTTGTAGGATTTTATGTGTGATTTGTTCAGAGACTTTAGAACGTGTCCATTGTTGAATGACATTTGCAGAACTTGACGTACGAATGTTGAGAGATGTGAGAGTAACCAATTATTTTACAAAAATCCAGTAATAAATTACACCCAGACAATGAAATTCTAATTGTTGATTTTCTATTCGCTGAGCTTGACTGAGATGGCGTCCAGACGCGAATACGTTGAATAAGAAGACGCGGACCGCCGATAAGAGGAGTTCCTCCAAATTTGGGATCCGCGAAAATTACATCGCACAGACGGCGAACGGCTGTATCCTGGTTCGATTCTCTAAAAGATTCAAGAACTCTTTTCTTTGTCACGTGGTCCAGAGCGTCCACCGTCCTGTTAACGGGTAAGCTTACCGGATGCCCGTACCCGGGAGGTAAGTCGGACGGGGCGTGAAACTAATATACGTATCTAAGTATTACCCAGGTCTAGAATACGAAATATGTACAGAATTTTGATAAGGAAAACTCTTGGAAAGCGGTTGAAATAGACCTTAGGGAAATATACCTTGACGTGGGTTGGACTGAGCTGGCTCAGGACTGAATCCAGTGGTGGTATATGTGTCAGGGGTATTGAATCAATAAACTGTATTTCTTAAAACGTATTTTTTTTTTTTACAAATGGACGAGGCGTCACTCAAATAGCGACTTCTGGACCGACATATAGATATGACGTCACAGAATTTTCAATTTTCAATCCTACGAATGCACAAACATTTTATTTTCAAAAAAGGTGTGGTTCACGAATGTCACAGCTCCTCATAAATTATCCTGTCCTACAAGGAGCGCGTAGCAGTTGCAGCCTTCGGCGATTTACGTGTTGACGTGACTAAACTGGACCAGCACGATTTCGTACGTCACAATCGTCCCCGCCATCTGCAAATTGAAATGTACTCAGAGTTTTTGAAGATTACTGGGAGTCTAGAGTAATCACGGTGGGAATAAGCCGTCTTCTGGGTTGCAACGGCGCGTAGTCTGGTAGAAGTTTACCGACGTTTCGGAGGTCCTTGCTGGTTCCATCATCAGGGCGGTGAGTGGAGGCGGCTAGAACCTCTGGACGTTGGTAAACTCCTACTAGACTACACGTCGTTGCTAATAGCAGGAGTAGTTTGACTGCAATGAAATTACCGTAAGCAGCATTGTCCGGGTCACAGAGAAGAAGCTGAGGCCGGTGAGAGCCACGTGGCACGTTGTAACGAGCTGCTGGAACCGCGAAACCTGTAACAGTCGTTTGTTGCCATAAAACAGATCGAAACATGTCGGTTCTGCATTATTTTCGTAACCCGTTGTTGTTATCGAAATGTTACATCGTCGACAAGGGCTTTATGCAAAGTGAGGTTATGTTTGGTCAACATGAAATGATATCACGTTCTTTTCGCGTTGGACAGAGCGCATGCGCACTGCAGTCATGGACGTATTGCACCCTAAGGGCGAGCATCTGTAAGGGAACTGCAAATGTCGACTGCATTTTTAAAATGCTGTGACACGAAGACTCACTTCGTCATTGTAGCTGTCTGACGGAAGGGCGTACATCAGGACCCGGGGTAGACGACTCTCGTCGTTGATGCCGGCCACAGAGAGAGACACAGTGGCTGTGCGGAGCAACAGGAACCCGAAGGACCAATAGAAGTAGACCCGCTCGTACCAGTTCTTAAGTGGACTGCAGCCAAAATCATTTTATTAAATCTGAGGTTTTCGAGGCGACGAAAGTTTTTGACGTCAGTCTTCTGGGCTGTAACGCTGCTCCGTGTGGACTTGTAGGCAGTTATACACTTTCAGAGGCGCTTTCTACTTCCATCTTCAGGACGACTGTGCAGGCAGTAAGCACCTCTGAAACGTCGATCAGTTTATACCAGACTACACGGCGCAACGTCCCAACAGACAGTCATGTTCGTATTCGCCGATGTGTGGGCCTCAGATCTCACCTTTAAAGGAGAGATTACTTGGGAAAACTATATTTAGATGGGAGGATAATATTAAAATGAATCATAGGGGATAAGGTTCTTGACTAGCTGAGTAACTATCAGGTCTGAAGTGATGTATTATGACTTTTTTGTGGGTTACATAATAAAATGTTCTCGGGATCATAGACGTTGTCTGGTTGTTTATCGATGTAGGTCTAATGACCTGAGTTTTAATAACCTATGACCTTGTACTTACTTGAGACTGTTGAAGAGCTGGAGACATATGAAGTAAAGGTTGCTTCCAAAAGACAGCAGCACCACGTGAGACACGCCCAAGTTGAGGGTGTCGGTCAGGTACATGAGACTGGTGTAGCGTTCACGTGTCTGCTTCCAGAACTCCGCGGACATTCGCTGCGTACACATAAAAAACTGACTATATGATTTAATAATCCCTGGCTTCCAGCTCGTGTGACGTAGGAAGCCCCGGCTCGGGCGTAAGAATGTAACGCCGTTGTCAGTTATTCAAGTGAACTCGAAACGTCGATGCGTGCAATCGCAAGTTTGTCAGAGCACTTTTAGTTTACTTTGTGTGTTGTGTACAGAGTGATCCAAAAGTCCCCGTGACTTTGCACGACGTGACTGAATGACCTTGACAATCACGTGTAACCGTAAGTAGTCCTCACAGATTGCAGGGAGACTCTTGAATCACCCTGTATAACGCTGTTACCTTGCCCCTGAAGGCCTGCAGGTTTCGGTTTAGCAGGCGGAAGCGATCCGTCAGCGCGATGCTGGTGACAGCTATGAACAGGTCCATGAAGTTCCAGGAAAACGTGGCCAGAGCGGCGGCCACGGACGCGAAGACTGCGCATGCGTGAGAGTAGCCGAGGTAAGTGAACAAGTGATGGTGGCTTCTCAGCATGTACTGTTGCACGACGCCTGACGTGGTGTTGGCGTGACGCGCCGCGAAACTCAGGTTGTTGTACTCGTTAAGGAAGTGTTCTACTGCAACCAGCGACAAGAACTTGCTCTGTGACAAAGTTTACTGCATACAATGCGAACTTCCGCCGTCAAAGTACGTCCTGGAAAAAACCTCGCGCGTTCAAATTAACGCGTCGGAAATTCAGTTAAATATTTCTGGGAATATTTAACACAGTAACAGCTGAAAATGGGTGTCTTATGTGTTGTTGCGCCGTGTAATATGGTAGAAGTTTACCAACGTTTCGGAGGTCCTTGCTGCCTCCATCATCAGGGCGATTAAGATTAATCGCCCTAATGATGATGATGATGATGATGACTACACTTCACAACGACCCAAAAGACAGTCATCTTCGGATTCACCGCCGTGGAAACCAAAAATGCTACAGAATTTTTTAATATTTACGTTGTAATTAATAGACTGGACCCAGGTAGGATGGAATCATCGGCTGTTAAGAGGGCAAAGAATGGAAAATGTGCGATAATAAGAATAACGAAACAGAAGAAGATGATGAATGAGGAGAAGAAGAAATGTAATACACAGGGAAAGGACAGCGAGAGACGCTGATAAAAGAAGATGGGTAGAAAACAGGAGGAAAGAAGCAAGTAGGAAGAAAAAGCTGTAGATGGACGGACGTACTTGCTGCTCCCGCGAGAAGCAGTGCCGTGATACACCGGATTTTGAGGCGCAGCGACTTTGACGAGCCGTAGCAGCTCTGGGCGTGTTCTACGGCGCTCCACTGCACCACGAGCCGTGGCCATCGCCCGGCCAAATGCAGGAACGCGCCGTAGGTGGCCGTCGCAATGCCGTAGAAGATCATGCACTCTGGAAACAGGGGGGCGAGTCACCGGTGAGAAAAGTTTTTTATTTCACGAACATAATGAAAACTGCATTCAAGACACTGGAGTTTCAGAAGAAATTGTGGAAGAGGATGATTCTACTGACACTAATTTTTGTGGCCAGTGCCAATTCCTACTCGATTTACCATCCACCATCAGCGTCAGAAGGAAGGTACCAACAAATTGGCGCCTGAATTTTTTGACGTAAATACATCTATAAGGAAGGGTCATTCGGCAAAAAAGTGTGATGAAAAAGGGAAACGAAAAAGTTTAACCTGGTTACCTAGGAAACGTCGTGTTTACTCGGCATTGTTGTTACCTAGAAAACGTAATCTGTTTACTCGGCATTGTTGTTACCTAGAAAACGTAATCTGTTTACTCGGCATTGTTGTTACCTAGAAAACGTTACATTACTCGGCATTGTTGTTACTTAGAAAACGTCATCTGGTTACTCGGAATTGTTGTTACCTATAAAACATTACATTACATTACATTCATCTACCACAGACCCATCTTAAGCGTAACTAATTCAAGTTAAATAATCAAAGTCTTAATCAAACTTAACTCAAATGTAAAGCATGTATAAAGGAAATATTTAGAATAAAGCCAATATATAAACTTCCTTTCCGTATAGACGTATTTACGTCTAATTCTCCGGAACCGTCGTTCCACTGACAACTTTTTTTACTTAAAACTTCTTCAAGGACGCTCTAATTGAACCTACTTCTTGTTAAAACATGGAGGCCTCGCGTCTGTCAGGATACGATGGCTGTGCAAACGCTCTACTTTCCTGGTCATTTCACAGAGCAGCCAAACGAGTGTCAAAGGTTGTACACGATTAGATATGAGATGTGGTCCTTCTGACGTATAAGAGTGCAAAGTACTTCTTGGTTGTAAACAGATGAATGAAGTGGTCATACAGATTGGTGCATTTGAAACAAGAGAGAAAATATGTAAGCAAATGGAATAATAATATTTTTCAAATACTTTCGTTTGATTTTGTTTATCTCACTGGCCTCGTTATTAAATTATCGAAGATACTACAAATTTGTTGTTCCAAAGGTCAGGGTCTTTAAACTCTCTCTTTCTCGCACAATGTCGACGTTTGCCATAAGTCAGTGAAGGACGCTTGAAATAAATATAGATCTTATCGAGATCTATAATTTAGATTATGTTATAATCATTTATACTATGAGAAATTTGTTTTTGTTTTTTGGAAAATTTGTTAAGTTTTATGTGAGCTTCGGGTAAAGTGGGGATGATGAACCCTTACGAAGAGATTAAAACAGACACACAACTTTTGCTGTAGACTATACTAAATTTAATATAGAAATTAATTTTATGGAATTTACTCAGGATTGGTCCTTTATCCCAGACACTTACGAGCATCCTGGAATGTCCCACCGATCTGCAGGATGTAGAGGATACAGAAGAAGACCATGAAGAGCAGCGAGAAGAGGACGGCGATCGTGTAGGCCACGCGGGCGCTCATCCACCGGAACCTGTCGGACGGAAGTTTCGTTTAACAACCTGAAGCCGACTTTCTTCTAAATAATATTTAAAAAAATAGTTCTTCCGCAAAGAAGACGCGTGCACGGGTAAGAATGATAATAATAAAACGTATAACAATAAATATAATAATAATTATAATGTCAATAATCTGTTGAGCTCACCTGAGGGCTTTCGGGCTTGGGGCAGTGACCCCGTGGACGGGTAACAGCGCAAAGCATTGCGCCATCACAGTTAGAGGGGCGATGGTCCGATGGAACGAGCTTAAACCAGAGTCCGCCACTGCAGCGTGTCCGTGGATTTCTTCTTGAGGGGAAATGGTCATCACCTCGTGCCTCCTCCTGCCTGACCCCTCAATATTCCCATAAACCTGTAAATTGTAATGGAAATTCTTTCTTTTGTGTCTGGTGAATTTTATACAACTGGGAAATGTTAATAAAATGAGGAACAAGTTAACTACAGTAAAACTTATACTAGCCTCAGTTATTTTCACATGTGCATATATAGATAGTATATATACAACAATAAATGTCTTAAAAATAAAATAATAGACGTGCTTTATGTATCTGCATCTTAAACTATTTTATAAATGCTACTTTATATAAGGTATTTCCAACAACAATGATACACGGGTTTTTGTATTGTGTTATGTTATATTATCCCAAAGTTCCGTACTAACTTCGCGAGTGTCTCTTCACAATTAAGTCGAGGAAAAGAGAACAGTTTCTTGAGGGACTTATCTTTGAGTTGTCGACAAAATGGCGTATTGCAATATCTCCGTGAGTGTCTACAAGAGGTTGTTATAACTTGACGTGAGGTGTGGCGCAAAACAACCGCACTCAGTTCTTCACCTGTTCATTATTGACGTCATTAGGGAATAAAACAAAAGAGCTGCTTACAGCGCGCAGGGTTGCACAAAGCGCGACCACGGGAAACATTGAGGCTGAGTGATTGGTACTCCTGCTTCAAATTCGGGAGGTTAAAACGTCACTGAAGAAACCAGATATAGAAAATGGTTGTCTTAACAATGGGAAAATTTTTGAAAAGACGAAAAATTAAAAAATTTCGTGGTGATATCTTTACACGTTTGTCGAAATGTTTGGCACGGAATTAAGTGTGACTGCAAAGTCGGATTTAATTAAATACTTGGAAGGTTTAACAGCGGAGGCACGGAATTGTGACTGCAAAATCGGATTTAATTAAATACTTGGAAGGTTTGATGATGATTTTATTACGGGCCGAATTTTGCAAACCCCTGTCCAGGAACTCCATAAGACTGTAATTTTAGGTGTTTGCATCATTAATTCAATGTTAGCTATTTAACTGCTGTGCCAAATCGATCATTCGCCTAAGCGGAATTGTGTTTATTTGAAACTGAAATTCTAATGAAGAATTTAATGATGATTTTTTTACGGGCCGAATTTTGCAAACCCCTGTCCAAGAACTCCAGAAGACTGTAATTTTAGGTGTTTGCATCATTAGTTCAATGTTAGCTATTTAACTGCTATGCCAAATCGATCATTCGCCCAAGCGGAATTGTGTTCATTTGAAACTGAAATTCTAATGAAGAATACTTAAACGTAAATCTGCATAGACCTGTAGATCGAAGATTCGTATCTGCGAAACCGAAATAATTGTTTCGGGTTGTTCATTTTAATGATAGGCGCATTGTCTCTCAAAATTGTATTTTATTTTGTTGGGAATTCTAATAGAAATAGTAATTTTCTTCTGGTTTAGATTATTATAAACAATAGTTAATTGTGTACTCCAGCGAAAATGTTCTTCAGATGCGTTCTTTGCAATTTTTCATATCTCATTAGTCTTTATATCCTTTGTTGCGAACTTAACCTCAATTGAGACAGGCCTATAAAACCCACTGTATTTTGTTTTTAATAAAGAGCTCCAGTACCAAATTTAAAATAAATTGTTAGTTGTACGTACGAGGGCTGTGGAGTCGGAGACGGAAGCAATTTTAGGTGAAGTCGGAGTCGTTAAAAATGTACAGAATCCGACTCCGACCTCGATATAAAATCTTAAGTAAAGTGAATTTCGGGAAAGATGTGAAATGTTTAATTTTCATTAGCATTTTAACACTCTGAAATCCTGATGAAAGTGTTTCGACGACTTCCAACAGAGGAGCTGCAAGACAGATTCATGTTAGCGCATCCTGGAAATGGAGAGGTGAACTATTAGTATCATTGCTGGTATGGATCATCACAGTTGGTATGAATGTTCAGTGCATTTGTTGTTTACGAAGTGATAGATATTATGAAACAACTCATTAATGCCGATATTGTGAAACATTTTCGAATGAGTTTTCTGTTAGTGTTTATGTGCATGAGAAATTTCAGCCATGAATAATCTTGACGAAGTATCATCAAGGATGCTCCAAGAAGTGTGTGATAACATTAAAACAGCAATTGAACAGGGTCGGACTGATATTATCAAGTCCGTACTTGAAGCATGTAAGATATTTGTCTTGGTCTTAATTTGCCTGCTCTTTGCAGTTTTTGGTTTTTGATTTAGTCGTGAAGAATTGATGATCACGTTGCAGATATATTTTTGAACGGATTAGAATGAATGTCGATGATTCTAACCTAGGTACCGGCGAAAGTACCTGGTGATGCCAAGGTTTAAGGTAGTGTTTTATCACGTCAGTCATAGGCATTATTTGAATATTAGGAGAATATTTCAGAAGTTTTGATTGAATTATTTTGTGCAGTTTGTCATTGTAGGATTTACCTTCTGTGTTTGGTAATAATTCAAGAGGGCGTTTTGGAACCACTACATTAAACCATTGTTATGGACTGCCAGAATGACCATCGAGTAATTTTTTTTTGTATTACTTCCAATTTGTTGTGTAATGCCGAAGCTTTGTTTTATCACTAATCCTCTGTAATAGCTTCGTAGCATGATGATTGTGTATTTGCAGATCATTAGGATGTGCTAACATGTTGTCAGCATCCAAACCTGTCAACAGATTGTGATTTGTTTCAGTGTAAAAATATATCTGAATGCAATAAACTGTCTAGATCAGTTTGTTTTTTTGTCTGTTTTCTCAGGTGAGGTGGACGATATTGACTCTAGTTTGCGGAAGGAGAACGTGTTGAACAATCCACTGCTTGAAGATGGAACATTCCTGTATATGGCAACTAAGGTATGTTAATTAACATTCGTGTTAGCAACCATTATTTGGATTAGTGTAATTCCACCTTATAAATCTGAAAATGTCTTCAAGGTCATGTTCGTGTGATTGCAGTTCATGTATTCTGTTTCACAGTAACGAAAACAAGATGTTTCTTGTTATGTTAACAGATGAACCAAGGCGATGTGGTACGAATGTTACTGTCCTGTGGTGCTGACCCAGGAGTACAGAATGCTAGAGGCCTAAATGCTATTGATGTTGCAACATCTGAACAGATGCGACTGATTTACGTCGAGGAACTTCTACGAGCGACTGCAAATTCTGAGTAAGTTTAAATTAATTATGTAATAAAGGTGAAGACAGGTAGGTTCTCTGAAATGTTGTTAAACCGTACACCAAAGTGTAGTGCCATCACCGATGAATGCAGACGAGATTAACGATGAACTAGGTCTTCTGTGAATGCTTATTACTTTGTATCTCCTCCTTTTGGTGGTAACGAAGTACGTTCGGTACCTTTCACTACGAGCCTTCTGCCGTGTGATTTGTAAAGTCATGTTTTACGTGTGTAAATTGTACATTTTTTTGGAAACGAGAGAGCTGGAATGGCGCTGTTTTGTTTCAGGGTTGGTCGAGTGTGCCAGCTGATTGCAGCAGGTATCAGCATCAACTCGTGGGACAGCGAAGATAGCAGGAACACTCCGCTCCACTGGGCTGCGTGTTACGGGAACAAGGACATTGTTACTTGTCTGATAGGTGGGAGCAGCAGAAATTCTCGAAATCTACCGCGTAACTCCGTTCGGCATGGTCTTTACAGAGAAGTTGTTAGTTAATCGACTTTCCGAGAAATTTCCCACCTTTTATGGATCTTAAGGGTTTATAACCATGTTCATAAATTTGCGGCCTACCTCTTCAAGATCCATTTTAATACCAACATCTAGGTCACAATTACGGTGACTATAGTAGAAGCGTTTGGGCATGTTTTGATGTACTGTATATGAACATGTGTCTGGAAGAACTGAATAAAACCACGTTATACCTCAGGATAGCATGTGACCCAGGCAGGTTGGCTACAGGAACTTAAGAGTCTCAGTTTTTCTTGTTGCTGTGTTTCAGATCGTGGAGCTGACGTGAATGCAATGAACTCCTGTGGTGCTACTGCACTGCATGACGCTGTGCTCAGGGGTGACAGAGACATTGTGGAGGAATTGATGCAGAGTGGTGCCAACCCACTCATCCAGTCCTTGAAAGGGTATACTTTTAAGTGCGGCCTGTCACTGATACAGTCGTGAAATGCTTTTTATCAGCGCATTGGTTTTTATTACTGAACATTTTTATTTTTTTCTTTACCAAAAGGAAATTTGGTGGGAAGACTCCTTTGGACCTCGCGGCACAGAAACCTGAATTGCTCGTGTTGGTAAGGACATTCACTTCATTTTCGCCGTCGGTGAACGGACACCAAGATATTGGCGTCTCGTCTCACCAGTTGCAGCATGGCATTACTGTAACGACAGGTGGCGGCTCTGGTGGAGGGGGGCGTGTCCGGAGTGTGTCGGTGAGTATGCCATATTGCAGTGTTTGAAAATTATCATGATCAATTTAATGTGTGTCGTTGCAGATGTTGATGAAGGTGGAACGTATATCACACTTTCTTTCCCACCAGGATGTGTTACAAGTTTCTTAATTGCCATGTTTTCAAGAAGCAAAGTTTTTTTTACATAAAATAAACAACAGTTTTAAGTATGTTTGTACCCAGCTCTTTACATATATAGACATTTTTTATTCTGTTTGCTAATTTTTTTGTCTTATATCTGATCTTAAAAACATTTTTGTATAGTGCCACGAAAGACGATGGGGCGTGGAGAAAACTGCATGATGACAAGTTTAAAAATCTTTACTCCTCCCTGAATATTGTCAGGGGGATTAAGGCGAGAAGAATGAGATGGGCTGGGCATGTAGCGCGCATGGATGGTACAAGAGGTGTGCACCAGGTACTGGTCGGGAAGCCTGAGGGGAAGAGACTGCTGGGGAGACCTAGACGTAGATGGGAGGATAATCTCAGGCGGGATCTATGGAAGATAGGAGTTGAAGGAGACTGGATTTTGTTGGCCGAGGACAGGGTCCGGTGGAGGGCTTTGGGTAGTTCGGTGATGAACATTTGGGTTCCGTAAGCCATCTAGTTAGTTAGTCACGAAAGAAGATAAAAATTGATTTCTGCACTGCGGTACAAAACTAATTCTGATTGACTGTTATCGTGGTCATCTGGGTTGTAATGGTATGTAATCTCGTATGTTGCAGTCAGTGAGGATGGAGGTGATACATCCCTGTGAAACATCGGTAACCACCGATGAGATTACATGGTGTCACAAAACAGAAGACCACAGTCAGCATTTTCACTGCCATGAGGACCCCAAATCTCATAAATTTTTTAATGGTTATGTAACTCTGAAAATAATTTATTTTACTAAAGAATTATCTTCAAACTTGTTTGTAGGTGGAATCATTCAGCAATGGCGTACGGGGCGACATGCTAAATCACAGGGATGGCTCCACAGTCAGTGTACATGGACACGGATTTCAGTCAGAGCGGAAGCCCTCAACACGATCATTGAATACTATCTTATTTTCATCACAAGCGTCCTCATTAGACCTCAGTCCACGTATTGACCAGGTATACGATGCCACTTCTTTGAATCTGCTTCGTGCATGCATTTTCTTAGAAAAATTTTGTAGGGTGTTAAAAAAGATACAGATTTGATGTTCATTATTTCAACGTACCATACTGAAAGGTGTTCTGATGTTTTAATGGACTTGTTACTTTTCTTACAGGCTATTGAGAATCTGGTGCGGACACACATCAGCACGCCAGTTCGACCACTGGTGATTAATAACAGCCTGCATCTGTTGTGGCCACAGCCTCAAAGAATGGTTGAACTTGAAGGACCTCCATTTGTGCCTCAGAAAGAACTGCGGATCTCCATAATACAGAGCCCAGTTTTGATTCACAGGTACTTTTACTTGAATTAGGTTCAGTGTACATTTGGATGTGTTTATAACATTCCATGTCCCGCGTCGTAGCCGCGCGGTCTGAGGCATCGTGCTTCGGACCGGCGATATGGAATGCGCGCTGGTTCGAGTCTCGGGGGAGAAGAACCGGTGCCAACCCAGCATCGTGAGGAAATTGGGGAGCTACAATGGGTAGCGTAATCCGATCATGAAAACTAGCGATGGCTGGGGGTTCGTCGTGCTGACCACACGTCACCCTATATCTGGTTGGATGATCGTTCACCTCTGCTTAGGCATGTGAACGTGAGGCCAGCAGTCAACCTAGTCGGCTTTGGCTCTCAGAGGGCTGTTACGCCGCCGATTATCATTATAACCTTCCATGGTAATTTACTGTTATTATATTGAAAATACTGTGTGCAGTCATTGCGGTGTTGATATCAACTTTACAGACTTACATGAAGAACGTTCTTCTCTGAAGGGGCTTTGCGATAGAAGCTCAGAGCACCCATGCCATGAAGGCATTTGAGTGTATGGAGGAAAATCTCTGTAACTTTTAACATCATCGTTAGCTTCAAATTTACAGATAGTTTCATGCTAAAGATACACGTTACAGTCAGCGGTGTTTTAATATTTTTTTTAACCTCTGAACACATTTTGCCTTCATCATATTGAAATAATTATTATGTAAACCCTGTGTTTTTTTTAACGTTGAATAACGTTTATAAAATCACGGTACACTCGACGGAAACTGTAAGATGTAAGGTGACGCTGGTGCGTAACTTCTTCAAACGCCAATTACTCGAAACCTATGTAAGATAGAGAATATAAACTTATATGTAAATTAAAGAGTAAATAAAGGGCTTTTTCTCCAAATTCTGTCCACTGATATTTTTGTTCTGGTGCAGAATGAAGGAATTTTCATGCGGTCTGATTTTTGAAATAAGTATTTTGGATGAATGGTGTATGTGGTGTTGGAAGGTCATGTTTGTTGTAGGATCCTGGATGTCTGGGACATATGCCAGCCAGCACTGCTCACTCTTGGTTTTGATGTGAAGATTGGTGATATTCAGCCTTCGTGCGGCAAGTGGACGGAGAGCCAGGTCGAGTGCATTGTCAGTGAAGACCTCTTCCCATCCAAGGACTCTTATCAGATTCATATAAATTCAACCAGGGTATGCACTGGATTTTATACCCTAAGTAGCGTAAGACTTGATAGAATTTTAATTCTATTTTGAATTAGTTTAGTAATGTTTGGGATGGATCCCGTTGCAGGTGAGAATAGCTGCCGGAAGTCTTCCCAGCCTCCACTATTCCCTGTGCACATTCATACAGTTGTTGCGACTGTCCGGGGGTGAACCAGGGAGTAGCGTGCTAGTCCCAGTGTTGATTCAGGACCACCCTACAATCCGACATCGTGCCGTTCTTCTGGACATTTCGCCCCGAGGTCGAGTTCCTTCGCCAGTAAGTTCAGTATGATGTGGTAGAATTTGGGTTTTATTTTGTGACGATAAAAGGAAATTCCGTGATGGGCTTTATTCTGTAGATTGTTGGTAAAACGGGATTGGCTGTGAATGAAGGGGACACGTGTTCTGAGATGTAAAAAAATTAATTGTAATTTGTGTTCAGATATTATTGCTTGCACCGTAAAGTGATTCGGATTATTTCAGGGTTCCTTCTGTTAGTCATAGTTAACATGCCTTAAAAAGTACTGTTTTCTCAGTGGTATGGCCGTAAACGTGTCATATCTTCCCGATGTTTAACACAAATAAAATGGCTGAAATTTTAGAAACTCCTGGTGTAAAGACTGCAATGAAAATAGCTTGTTAATGAGTTTCGGAAGAAGGAAAAGATGTACGTGAAACACAAGAAGATTCTGTTGTCAAAAAATTCCATGGACTATAAGAATGCCTTCGCAGATATGAAAGTTGCTACGTGCCGTTATTAACGTATAGAGCAGAAATATAGATATGACCCAAGGTAGATAATGGCAGCAGAGGTGAGATTTTTGAGGGGAACAGGAGGAGAAATTAAAAGAGGGAAGATAAGAAATCAACAAAATCTAACTTAAGTTACTTTAATTTTTCTTTAGGATGCAAATTAACATATGACAGAATGAGATGATGTAGATGTGTTTTATGGCTGAAGAGAGAATCCCAGAGAAAGTTCTGTGTTTGAAAATAAGAGGAAAATGCTAAAGAGATGGACCCAGATTTAGATGGGAACAAGAAGTTAGGAAAGATGTACAGAAGGAAGGACGCGGGAAGAAACTGAGAACGAGGGACTGTGGGAAGACGGAAATCGATGGGAGATTCTTAGTTGTCAGACAACCCACATAAAGTGGAATCATCTTGGCAAGAAGAGGAAGGTGGTGATTGCATCATCAGAAGGAAATCAGACGTCATATATTCTTCCCAGAACCTCTTGATCTGCATTATTATTATGGTGTTTGTGTAAAAAAACTACGTTGCTGCATTTGTTGCAGGATTTCCTGTTCCAAATGGTAAGTCTGTGGTCGTCTCTGAAGGTGAGCCACCTTCACCTGTACACGCAGCTGTTGCCGAGCTCCGAGTGGCAGCTCCCGTTCACAAGGAGGTATGATTCCTTTTGTGTTGAGGACCTTTCACCTGAGTACATAGTGTGAAATAATGATATGAGGGATTTTCACCACGAATGTAGACGAGAATAATCCGCTGTCAATTGATTTCGTCAGTATATGAATTAAATTCATAACAGCGAGGTAGTATTTATTTTCATCGACATAATTACTCATTGAATTTGGTATTGTGTCGTATGTGCTGAACATTTTCAGGTGACTCTAATTATCCGATATCAGTGCAGTGTAATGACTAATTTGTGTGAAGCTCAGATCTTACTTTATCCAATTTCTCAGAAATGACTTGCCGTTGTCCTTGTAGTGAGATGGTGACAATTGACCGCTACTGCCAGGACAGGTTTATTGATCTGGTGCCTGTGTTGGATGTCGAGTCGCATGTCTCGTATGAGGATCTGACGGACATGTGGCCTACGTTCCAGGAAATACTAGCCAGCTTCCCAAATCTGAGGTATGTCGATGAAAACGCAGCTTCCGTCTGCACAGTTTTGAAAATGATGGTAAAGCGTTTCTTTGTAGCATAATTTTCTGGGTAAAATCTTCTTAGAAAGTTCTTTCTAGGCTCACCATAAATTAAAGGGAAAATATTTCCCCGTAACTTAGTGTTTTAACGGCCCAGCTGCGACTGTTGAAGGCTAAGGGCTTGCTTTTGAAATGCTGCAGGTATGTGCATATAGGTCCCAAGTTGTGCAGCCTGTTAGTGCGACCTGAGGAGGGTGACGAGGGGGATGGAGTTAGTTCTGACGGCAGCGGCCAGTGTGTGGGTCTGCAGGAGCTGTGGCATCACTTAGCGTTGCCGCCAGACATCACGGTCATGCTTTGCGGCAATGGAATTCAACAACACGGGACTCTGGCCCTCCCTTCAAACATCTTACTCGTGCAGTACGGATTTCAGGTGGGTAAGCCGATGGATGTCATCAGGTCAAATTGTTGGAACACCATTCCTTCATCCAACATTTACACTGATATAAATACATTTATCTGTTGGTGGTCAAAGAATTTCATCATTTATCTCTTCCCATAAGCACCCGTATTGTCTTTACACCCATTTATCTCATATTTTCTTTTATACTTACTCGATCTCACCATGAAATCCTTATACAGTAGACTCTGATTACCTGAGTTGGTTGATAAAAATATTTTCCTGGGTAATTGAAACTCTCGTGTTAAAATGATAGAACAATATGAAAATATAATAAATACATAAGTTTATTTACAGGTATATACTTTTTTTTAATTTACTAATAGAGAGGATTTTATTTAAAACTGAATACAGTACATACCAACTGTGGCTGTTGAAAAAATTTCTTGCTGTTGTGAAATCCTGATGTTCATCACCACCACTAGACCATATCGTTATCCTTAAAAGAGAAACTTGTATCTACCGAGAAAGTTGATGTGAGTTAAAAGGTTTTCTGACACTTTGGTTATGGATCTTAGGTACTAGACGGCATGGAAGTCTCTTTCTCCGAATTTTGAGAAGTTACCAGGTTTAGCTGTTTGGGGTGACAGTGTACTAAGCTGCTACAATCCGCATCACACGTTCATCGACTTATTCTGAAGATCCATTTTAATATTTTTCTCCCATTTTGTTTTTTCCAACATTTCCCGTATGCTTTCTTCTCATTGCAGAAATGACGTATCGTTTCGGAGGCTTCTAACAGAATTGCTTTACTTTGCATGCTTTTCAGGGTTGTATTTTCTTATGCATGTGCAATATTTTTTGTGCAAACGTGGTGTTTACAATATATCGGTGAGTTATCCTGGAATTTGGCTGAGGATTTAAGGTTACCCCAACCCATCCAGGCTAACTAACAGTGACGGGAGTGGCCGAGGAATGTGAAGTGACGAGCGTACTTCACATTTGTGATAGCACTCACACAGTTTTAGGCTAGTTCTTGCTTTGTTATTATTTTTCTCCTTTAACTAGTGGTTCCTCATACGTTTATTGATTGCATGTAATAAGAAAGCGGTAATCATACTTTGTAATTTTGTGGCATATATTGCTTTAACCCGGCACTGTCAAGTAGGTCTGCCGTCATTCTCCATAATACTGTCGTGCTGTGAAATACTATCTATATTGTAACTAATAACATAATTTGTTTATTTAAAGGCAGACTATGACTTCCTTGAATGGACACGGGACTTCCACCAGCAAGGAGCCATGACTTGTCTGTGCCCTGGTACAGCCAGCTGGAACAGGTTATTTAGCTCTCTCTTTTTTGTATTCCTCTTTTATTTTTCATAACTTTCCCCTTTTTCTAGCACCGCACCTTGTTTCCCTCGTGTTTCTTCTTCGTTAATTTTCTTTCGTAACTCTTTTTCCATATATTTTTTTCCTTTAACCTCCCTGTACCTCAATCTCTCTTCCTCCAAAATGTGCAATTAAAGAAGAACAATAAAAAAAAGCCATGCTACATGTGATATGTTATTACAGCATTTTTCCATGAGGTCTGTTCCTATTTAAATAGAGCACATGAAATGAAATTAAATCCGTGGCATAACAACTCCAGAGAGAGCCAAAGCCGACTAGCTTGACTGCTGGCCTCACGTTCACATGCCTAAGCAGAGGTGAACGATCATCTAACCAGGTACAGGGTGACGTGTGGTCAGCACGACGAACCCCCAGCCATTGCTAGTTTTCATGACCGGATTACGCTACCCCAATTTCATGACGATGCTGGGTTGGCACCGGTCGAAAGCTCATGAGAAAATTTCTTTTCCCCCGAGACTCAAACCACCGCTCATTCCATATTGTCGGTCCGAACCATGATGCCTCAGACCGCGCGGCTACGCCGCGGGACTAAATAGAGCACATACAGGTTTGAAAGCATGAAAGTGTGTTTTATATGGTGTTGATGGTACTGTATTCTTGAATGCGGTTCTTTTGTTATGTTTTGCAGCCTTGCTGGTTGTCCTGAAGCCTCAATCTGTAACATATATCGTGCGGTACAGGCAGTTGGAGAACTGGAGTCTCTGGGTGTGATAGTTGCTCACTGGTCTGGATCATACCACCTCACTCCACACCCATTTGGCTGGCCCGGCTTTGTAGTTGGGAGCGGTCTTTCATGGAACCCAGATACTCATTGGGTAAGTATGTCTGATATGTGAGTCATATGTTCCTTTGAAATGCACATAAATTATAGTTTTTTGAGCTCAATAGCAGCGTAGTCGTGAGGTCTGAGATCCAATTTTGAGTTTGCCATCTGGCAGCCCTGACCGAGGTTTCTTGTAGTTATCTTCGGTCCCTGAAGTCAAATCGTGAGATTGCACTTTCAGAAAAGGCCACTTCCTTTTCCATTACTTGTAATTAATAATTTACGTTTATCGTACCATTTTATGCTTTTTACAAATCTATCTGAGAATGTTATTAAGGTAACCAAGAATCACTCAACCCCTTGCACTCGGATAGCGGACGAAAGTAACAAAAGTTCAAACTTTCTTTTTATAGGATTACTTGCACAACTCGCTGTCTGACCTACTCAACAGTCACATCTTTTTGGACAGTGAAAACGTGGTTGGTCGTGTCATCATAGAACTTGGCTATGCAGAAACTTATGCCCTGAGATCATGTAGAGGTCAGGATCAGGGTGACCTCTCAGACCTCCCTGCACAAGATGGCTCTACGCTGTACAAGCTGCTTACAGACCCTGACAACGTCAATCTGGAAAATTTGTCACTCGACATATTTGGGGTAAGGTTCAAGATAAGTTTAAGATTTTTCGTAAGATACTTCGTTAACAAATGGCGGAAAGAAAATGTTGAAAAGTAATTATTGTGATGTTGATTTTTTATGGATGTTTATGCAGAGTATGTACAAGCACATGATGAAGATGACATTATTTGTAATGAAACCCGTCTGGCGGTCTCAGGCAAGATACTGGGCTCTTATTCAGAGGGCTCTGGATTTTTCTGCTGGCACATTATTCCATTATGATTTTAAAAATGCAGGTTTTCAAATGTCCCTCCAACGAGCAATGGAGAAATTGAATATTTGTCAGATATGATATGTGATTAATGCTCTCTTTATAGAGGGTCACAAAACATATCAAGAGATGTCAGAACAATTTGTTCCGAGCCAAACTGCGGTGTTTGTTTGGTGAGATGGTGATTCAAGAACTGCAACTCGCAGCTGATCTCATGTTGACAGCTTGCAGGTAAGAACAGCTACTCCTCATTTGTGCCGTCAGTGACGTAACTTTTGTAAGATGTAACTTTCGTAAGAACCGTTGGTTTATGAGGTTAGCATTTGTCTGGCCGCGTGGTACGTGGCCCTCTTTGAATAGTCGGCATTCATTCACCTGGTCGAGAAAATACCAGCTTCTATGGAACACTTAGAAGTGTTTTGATCAGGAACCATAACTCAAAGCTGTGAAATATTTGTAATGGTGTACTGTTTCGTTGTTTTATTTCAGAATTGGTACCAGATGTTTGTAATTCTTTATTGCAGGATAGGTCGGACGCTGATTGGTGTGGGAACCAATCCTAACAGCAACATGGGCTTGGCAGTTATTAATCTGGGAGTGTGCAATCTGCCGCCAACATTCAGGACAGATATAGCAAATAAGTACGTTTTAAACTTCATGTGACACTTCTTAGTAGGCTGACAATTCACGTTTGAAGTGTGAATCACTGAAACTTTGGGTTTGTTTTCCACGAAAATAAACTTGTAATTTATTTCTGTCTTAAATGAAGATTTCTGTCTTCTGGGTTGTTGCGCTGTGTAGTCTGGTCGATGTTTACCAACGTTTCAGAGGCCATACTGCCTCCGTCATCAGGGTGATGAATCTACACAGCGCAACAACCCAGAAGACAGAAATCTTCATACTCACCGCTGTGAGAACCTCAAATCTTACATATTTCTGTCTTGCTTCGTTTAGTCGAGTTTATACAACTCGGGAGTTAATGGTTTAGCGGTATCGTAGTGCGACTGCATAAACCGTGATGTAAAGATGATAAACATTAAACGGTTCTCATTATTACACACTTACAGCAGAAGACCTCCGCCCTGTTTACGTTCGTTCACGATTCACTCGTGTTATCACATTCTGTGGTGCTTTCAGGTTGCTGGCCCACATTGAACAGTACAAAGGCACGTGGCTTCAGCGTCATCTTCCTGCAGGGCTCCAGAGTTCTCTGCTGGTTCTCACTTCGGCTTTGCACCGGTTTGTACCTGATGAGCCTCAGGTCACTTAAGAGTCTCAGTTGTACCTCGTGCGTCATCGTGCTCAAGTTGATGTTGGCTTACAGATGCCGTTCCTAATTAAAATGTTGGGTTCAGAAACATTTCAACTTTCACAAGTTTCACCATTTTGAATCCTGGCTATTCAGCTTGCGGCCGCTTGAAAGCGTCCGCTCTTGTCTCGATGTGATGGTCATTTCGTGCTCGTGCTATGATTACCCGAGTACGCGGAGAACTAAAATAACCTCCTGATATCAGACGCTCACAAATATGAAAGTGGAAATTTATATGAAAGAATGTTACGTTGTCCAGTTTTGAAGTCTTTGATGAGAAATTGCTGTCCACTTTTAGTTTGAAGTTTAAATTATTTTATTTTATAGAAAATCCTTGAAGTTCCAGCCTTCAGCTTCCATGCATGCTTCGCGTACTGAAAAGATTTGTGAGCACACGGCAAACCCATTGTCTAGTGCTGCTATCCTGTTTCTTTTTGATCACGTCGTACGTGTTTCTTATTTACTATCTTCATCCAGCATCGAGTCTGTCGTACGAGACTTTCTCATTAATGTTGAATTACACGATATAAAATAGCGATATTTTTGGTGAAATTTATTCCGTGATGAGTGCATCATGAAATATCGTATATAAAATTTGTCATAAATGATGCTTCAGTTCAGTGCTTCGTACAAATCCAATTTTGACCGATATTTCCTCGTCAGCCCCCCTGCGAGTAAGAGCTCAAGAACGGCCGAAAGAATTTCGATGACGTGATATCGGGAAGTTTTATTAACATTTTTCAGCATGTCCCAATTTTGGGTAAGTCGGTCTTTATTCCGAGTTCATTTTAGAATGTTCCTGTATCATGGCGTATTCTGGACAAGACGTCTTTCTCTAGTTTGCCGACGACTTTCTCCTGCAATCTGGCGTTAGATGAGCTACCTTATTTCTCACCAGGTACTCCCAGTTTATCAGTGGGTACTTTACAATCATGCTTTTTCATCCTCGCTTAAGTAACTTCTCACTTATTTGTGTGGGTGTAAAACTTGGTCTTACGTTATAGGAGGAGAGAGTTTCAGAATGGTGCCGAGATCTGAGACAGATGAAATGACGAGGGACCGGAGAAAATTGAGCATTGAGCAGCTCCGTAATTTGCCATCTTCACTAAATATCGTTAGGTTTTTATCGAGAACGTTGAGAGGGGCAGAGCTTGTAGCATGCATGATAGGTTGAAATGCTTAAAAAATATTTTGTTGGTAAACCTGAAGGGAAGTGACCACTTGGAGGACGAGCAGAAGGATTTTGTGAACGTCGCTTGGTTTCCGTAAGAGGCGCTGGGCAACCATCAGCTTCTGAAGAAAGACACTGCTCCCTGGAGTTTGTAGTTTATGGAGAAGTCCGAGGATGGTCACTTTCCACGGCATTTCCGTCTGGGTTCGCCTTTTTATTCTGTTGTCGACTCGATTTAAAAACTTACAAATAAAAAAATTTCCCCGTATGTTGTGATTATGCCAAGTGGCAGCTGAATTTGATGAATGACGTAATATGGAGAAGCGCGGCGAACGTACCAACATACCTCAAGTAACGACCGATGGTTTATTTGTTGCAATGTTATGAAGTGCCATCTGTGACTGCGAGTGTAAGTATATTTATATGAAATTCTGTGTTTAAAAAGAGTTTATAAAGTGCCTTCCATTGGTTCTTCTGCTGTTAGAGAATACATATTTCTTGTTTTAGTGTTTTGTAAAGTAACTGACTTGTCTTTTGCGTCATAAAGTGTATGGTTATGAACGCAAATTGTGATAGTGTTAACAGCCACTTCATCGGCTGGACAAACACAGTTGTCCGAAACGGCGTTCGTAACGAGTAGTAAAATTTGGCCGATTTTGCGAGGGGCAGCGCAGCATTTAACGTGTTCCCATTCAGTTTTCTGTGCGTTTACTTCGGCCACATGTAATATCTCCATTTTAGCGAACGTATTTTGTTTTATTCAGTTCTTGTAGAGTCTGTAACAACGTATGTCGGAAAATGGTAACATACATGAAAATTAAATAAAATTTTGATTTGAAGTTTTGATGGTGGTGAGTCTGAAGACGGCTGTCTCCCGGGTTGTGATGCTCGTACTACAATGCGGAAGACAGCCGTCTTCTCTGGGTCCGAGTTGGGTAACGGAGTCTGAGTTAACTGTGTTCTGTTCAAGATTAACTTTGAATTACTTGTGTGAACTTTGTACCACGTCTTGCTGCCGACAGCGTTAATTGTGTTGTTCAGTTTTATGTTTTTTTTTTTTTTCAAATGCCCAGGATCGTAAACAAAATTTTAAACTTGTTTGTTAATCAAAAATTGTATACAGATGATTTCTTTGTAGTTATCATTACCTTACCTTCCCCGACACAAATCGTTCACCGAGTTCCACCAAGGAATTTTGATGTACGCAGATTTGGATGGACGCTTAAAGTCTCTAGAGGACATTAATCGCATCACGGTGAACTTATATTTTGACTTGAGCTGACAATCTGCGGATTGGCGAATTGGGTTTTGTTGTCCTTTGGCCAGATTCGTAAATCTGAATTATCACGTAGGATTTGAGGTTCTCATAGGGGTCAGTAAAGATGGCTGTACTCTAAACAGCGAGTTACCCAGGTGATGGAAGCAGTAAGTTACGTAATTGAAAGAAATTATAGTAATGAAGTAAAAATATTTGCTATTATTTTTGTTTGGTACTTCTTTTCCTAACCAGAATTGCTGGCAGAAATTTATGGATCAAAGTTTTATGGAATGGCAGTGTACACAAGAATTTTGCATATTTTTTCTTAGATTTACCTTAGCTGTGCGTGAATAGGGGTTATGTATGGAAATTAAATTAAAATAAGATACTTTGGTTTTCGATTAGAAAAGAATGGGCCGCGCCAAGAGATCTAATTGTTATTTAATAATTGTATGTTTATTTACGCTATGAAAGTGGTATTGAATTCTAATAGGTGTCATGAACACATGATTTTTGTCAAGCACCTGTCTTCCAAGAATTTATTTCGATATTTGTAAGCTCACCTGAATAGAACGTTTATCAGTGAACGAAGCTGACGTCATAGAAGCTAGGATCTCGGCGAGCGACTCCGGTGGATCGCCGCCAGAGCCACTGAATTTGAATGCCGCAGTTTTCAGCTTCAAACTAGTCGTTGCCGTTCGCGCCAATTCTGCAGCCGGTCCGACCTCGTACCGACAACCGGGAACACGGAAACAATTACCGGTGTGTATGTGAAGGCGTTGCAAATGCGTGCAAAAACGAAGTACATGCATCCCAGGATGTCTCGCCGTTTCTCGTTTTCCGCGAGATTTCTCGTTTTTCGTTCTTTTTATTGTGATCGTTTCCTATCCCTCCGTGAACAACTTTGTTCGTTACGCCTCTAGACCGTCTTTTGTTGACAATGGTGCGTGATGGAAAATGGCGGCCAACAGACATGAGAAACTGCTGGAGACAAGAGAGATTTTCCCCGAGATCAGGGGTTAGAAGTGGAATGTCCACTGATTTGTGTGAGATTTGATGTTTTCGCTACGGTGAGGATGTGCTGTTGGTTTTCGGCGTAGCGTAGGGTCCGAAGGACCTTCGGATCTGACGATTATCGATAAGTACACATCTTTCATATAAAAAAACGATTCTGATGTATGAATGTACAACGCATGTTAAAAATTATACAGCGTTTCTACAGACATTACCGTTAACATCTTCAGGGTGAATATATTGTGGTTGGGCGTTTTTGGCAGTCGAAGTTATACAGTGAACTTGAGGCGCGGAGACCTCAGGAGAAAGATGCTGATCCAGTTTAGAGACGCTTTCCTTCGAGAACAAAAACAATAAACTTGCTCTCTCGTCCTTCTTCTGATGTGTGAACAAACCAGTTAGTGTACGTTGTCGTCTGTTTTACATGTTCTACAGTGCACTGCTTGCCTGTCATTGCCCTCTTTCTGTCGGAAGTGTGCCTACGCGGTTCCCAGGGTGATTAATCCTGATAAAATCACACCGTGTCTCGATGCATTCAAGTCTTCACGAACACTTCGTTATGGCAGAGACTTAATGTAAGTCAGGGATGGATCAACACTACGCCATTGGAGCGTATAGGGGCCGTGGAATAGCGGTCAGTTGTCATACCCCAACACTCTCGAAAGAATATGAAAATGGTAGTAAAAGAGAAAATTCGTGCTGTCCTTAGTGGGAATCGAACCTACGACGTTCAGTTCCACGTGATACTATTACTTAGTAAATTAGTACAGTTATATCTAACGAGATGTCTCCCTTGAATTTCTACAAAATTATGTAATTAGCTTCCAAAAGTTTACGTGAAAACTAGGAACAAATATAAAAATACACCATTTTAAAATGTATCAGGCTATGTAATATATAAATGATGGTCCTCTGTAAGTATCAGGCCGTGTAATATATAAATGATGGTCCTCTGTACAGGTGCATGTGATGCAATAACTCGGTTGATTACAGTGGGTCATGCCTTTCTGCTGGAATATCACGTGATGTGGTGTACACCTGTCCATGAAATACACGGCCCATTCATCCGAAACGTTGGCAATACTTATTGGACTCCGAGGATGCTCCTGTGTTATTGGAATTATTAGGTATTCTTTAGACGAGATGGTAAAGTTGCGTCATACTGTGATATAATAACTATATATTAAATCTTGTCCGTCTAATCACAATAAATTCTTATTAAATATTAAAATATTACAATAATTAACATTTAAAATATTAAATGATGGTCTTTATCGAAATATTCGATTTACATTAGACCATCATTTTTCATGTTTCACGACATGTTTCAGTTCCTAAAAGAACCATCCTCAGGTGTATATAATTATATAAAGCTTCAAAACGATAAATAATTCAAATACAATT